AACAACCCGAAGCAACCATTTAGGGTTTAGGGTTTAGGGTTTAGGGTTTAGGTCTTTAGGGTTTTAGGGTTTTGGACTTTAGGGTTTAGGGTTTAGGGGTTTAGGGTTTTAGGGTTTCGGGCTTTAGGGTTTTATGGGTTTAGGGTTTCAGGGGTTTAGGGTTTAGGGTTTCAGGGGTTTAGGGTTTAGGGTTTAGGGGGGTTGGATGTGTAGGCCTCATATGAGGCAGGCTTGCTCCCACAGAAAAGGCCACTGCATTCTAACAAAAAAAACCTAAACCGTTGCGCTGTTGGAAAGGAAGCGCGAAGCAAAAGAAGCTAAGCCCTAAACCGCTGATCACAAGACAGCTGGAGTGATGGGAAGCAAGATGGGCGAGTTGTCTTGTTCCATAAGAGTGGCAACCTAGGTTTTTGGGAAACGGGAGGATCGAGTTTGGGTTTTTCGGGGGGTGGGGCCCTGGGTTGCGGATTTTGGGCTTCCGGGATGGGCCGAGGTTGGCGCTTGGGGGATCTTCCCAGACAGTGGCTGATAATCTATGCTAACGTGAGGCTCTTGACGGAACTATAGCTGGATTCGAAGCGTTCCTTCGGTCTGTGAGCGCGGAAGGAAGCGGAAGGGTGCGGAAGGTGGTTGCTCCGCGGAAGGGCGCGGAAGCAACGATTCTGTAAGCCGCCACCTTGCAAGCGGCGGAAGGGGCCGATGCAAAACCGTCTGCCGAAGGGCGCTTGGAAGGGACATCATGCGATGACACAGAAACGTGCCAATGCGTCGAGACGCGGAAGGCTGCCGAAGCATTGGCAGGACCTGACAACCAGGGCCACCAGGGTGTCGGTGGCGGCATGTCTTGCGTCGGTCGGCGGCTTTGCTCGTGCATTGTGGCACTCGGTAGTTCGTTATGCCCACACGCTGTGACGATACCTTAGGCAACCACCCAGCATTGAAATTTCAGAAAGCAGGTGACCCTAATATGGACCCAAAATGGATCTTTGTTACAAAGCACATCACTTCATCTTCGTCTGACAGTCGTGACACGACAAGCTTTTCATGCTGCATATCGATGTAGACTCCGAAGCTATGCGGTATGATCTATTGAATCTATTGTGATAGCACATAGTAAAGGTATAGTAACCATAAACCCTAAAAGACGATTTGGGATTGCACAGTTTGTCGTCCATTTTAGTTACTGCCGCGCAACCCTGGGAGTTCTTCGACGTTCCCGGCCTCGCTTTTGACAGTGCCGACAGCGAGTCAGATGGGTCTCAGGCAGAGGCACGCTTGTGAATCAAGGGGTCGTAAGGTGCTATCAGATTTGTGTAAGGTTTCACCGGGCTTTCTAGAGGTTAAGAGGGTTTGCTAGCTTTGCTCCTTGTCTATATTCGTCTGAACGGATGACGTGAGGTCATGCGAGGACACCTTTCTTTTCTTTAGCGGGGATTGTGTAGTTTGTTGTCTTTTTACTTTTTGCTTCAAAGAATCTATCTGATGGAGATATAGGCCATTTTCTTTTCTGGGTCATGGTGTGGTGGCATGTTGGTTGTTGTTGCCGGAAAAGCAGCCGATCGTCATTCGGTGATGACGTCGTATCCTGTTTGTGTGGGGCGTGCAGTGTCCCTCGATCAGTGGAGGTCGATTCATCTAGTGGTGGAAAGTACGCATACAAAGACTAGCCAGAATGTTAACAGCGCAATACTAGCAGTACCTGCAGTGCGAGTCATACGAGCAGTTGTAGTGGTGGTTGTAGTAGCAGTAGTCGTGTGGTAGCAGTAGCAGCAGCGGCAGTAGCAGCAGCAGCAGTAGCAGCAGCAGCAGCAGCAGCAGCAGCAGTAGCAGTAGCAGTAGCAGTAGCAGTAGCAGTAGCAGTAGCAGTACCAGTAGTAGTAGTAGTAGTAGTAGTAGTAGTAGTCTTAGTCGTTGTAAGTAGTAGTAGTAATAGTAGTAGTAGTAGTAGTAGTAGTAGTAGTAGTCGTGTTAGCAGTGAACTACCAATGCTAGGAACAACAGTAACATTAATTAGCAACAATCTTCGTGGTGGGTAATAGTGGCAATAGCAATACTAGTAATCACAGTAACAAGGACAACAGTAATAACAGTCATAGTAAATGTAATAGCAATAATGGCAATAATCGTCGTAATAGTAGTAAGAGACAGTGCTAATAACAGTGGTACCAGTAGCAAGAGCAGGAATAGTAGGAAAAATATCAATAACAGTAGGAATACTGCACATAGTCATAAACACAGTATTATCAATAACCTAATCATAATAATGGCAATCATAGCAATGCTAGGAATCAGGGTGCTACAGTAATGGTCGTCATGGTCATAGTAGCAGTACATAATCGTAGTAATAGTATCCAGTCATAGAAAAACCTGACATGTATTGGTGACCCGGTGTGTTGCGTCATGTCTTTTCTTTGATTATTGTGCATGGGTTTTAGCGCTTTATTACTTAACAGGGTTTTTTCACAGAGTGAACCGACACTAGTCCTTGATGATTGGATCATGGTGCAGAGTCTTTTGTGGTGCATCGCATCGTGACTTTTCCGTTCAGGCAATTTTCATACAAACGGCTGTCAAGCACTATTGAACCGTTGTCCACTGTCTTCCCATTCTAGGTAACTAATTGTGTTCTGGCGTGTGTCGCTTCATGAATCAAGGCTTTCTCTTCCGAAATTTACAGGATGCCAGGAAAGCAAGTCATTGTCGGTGCAGCATTGTGTAGAGGTGTTGTGCTGGGTCATTGTGTAGTGGCGTTTTCCATTAGTGGAACTCAACTTCACTGGAAACGACGACACTCATTGAATGATTGTGCAGTTGTCCTGTGTGGATGCACTCCTTTGTCTGTGGCTGTCCAACGCATGTGGCACAGTCGCTTAGTAAACAGTTTTAGGGCAGATCGCTGCACAGAATTCAGTTGGAAAGTTCGAAACAGCAATTCGGTGTCCATTCTGCGCAGTCTTTTTCTATCGTGGTCTGAACCTTGAACACTCAAACCCCTAAACCCTAAACCCTGAAACCCTAAAACCCTAAACCCCTAAACCCTAAACCCTAAACCCTAAACCCTGAAGTGCAGCCTCCTTGGAAGGATTCTGCTGAGCCAGCACAGAACAGTATGGCCGCCCACCTGAACGGCACTTGCAAGCCCTGCCGAAGCTTGGCCTTTCGAGGTTCTGGTAACACCACAAGATAAGAAGCCCCTGAGGGTTTAGGGTTTAGGGTTTATTCGGAAGAGAACATTATATTTGAAGATGTGTTTGTGTTGTGACTGATCTGCGTCAGGCAGATGCTCATAGCACAGGACGTTTCGGTGCGATGCAGAGATAGGAGAAAGTACTTGTACTGTGTTGGAGAATACAGCAACATGCAACACACAAGATGCAACACGAGCCATATGTACCTGCGTATTTGCATAGCGGGGATACACACACAAAACTGGAAATTGGAAGGACGCACACACACACACACACACACACACCGTTCATATGTCATGTGACACCCGACAGTGTACGATGTGGCTTGGGGCAGCTGCAGCCTTCAGGTTGCAGGACATGAAAACATGCACTGCAAGCAGCTCTAGCTCATCCAGTTCTACATACACAGCATGATGCTGCACATCTTGGGCCTGAAGAGTGCGCTGCTCTACTGTATGGCACCTGTCGTCATAATCTCACTGTTTCAGTCAAGAGATTGTGAAGGTGTGAGTCGCACAATGCCATTCACGATGCAGTCATGGGCGCGGAACGGCCACTGCTGGCCAAGGTGATACACCAGCGTCGATTCTAAGTGTATTTTCAAGCATGCGCAGGGGGAGGTGGGAAACGCGTATCACGCACTCACACTTGACAACTACCATTGTCAATGGCAACTCCATGCCCGCACTTGTGGCCGCCCTCAAGTCCCAGCAATGGGTTATGTGCCGTGAAAGTTTGGAGCTGCTTATGCTGTTGAACCATTCTGGTGTATGTACGCCTTTTTTCTTCCTGTTATGTCATTGCGTTGCGGCATATCGGGTGACACAGCGACGTCATGAACGTGTCAGCTCTTTGCGCCAGTCTGGATAAATAGTGCTTCTATGTATTCCCGATTCAGTTGTCCAGATCTTCTTCAACTCAGCATGTCTGCTTGGCAAAGGATTTCACCAGCTCAAGGACACGGGTGTGAGCATTCTTTGATCAACATTTTGACCTCACCCTAAACCCTAAAACCCTGCCCCAAGCTTGACAGCGAAGCCGCTTCAGGAATGTGCCTTGAAGGGTGTGCTTGTTACCCTTCGAAGGTAGTTTATATGTAGGAACAGCCTGTTCTGTGTAATGATATGGCCTTTCGGCTTACATATAGCAGATTTCGTTCAAACAAGGATTATATTGTGCAGTATATATTATATGCTGTGCAAATTATGTTATGATGTTATGTCTTGTACGTTGCAAATGATCCATTACATGTTGTATGTTGTTTCGTATCATACATAGTGTCTTACATATGGAGCATTCTATAGTAAATGTCAAGAGTTCTGTGTTAAAAACCTAATAGACGAAACATATTATTCGTTGTGTATCAAACATTGAAGATCAAACAAGTAAACAAGTAAATCGTTAAGCCATTTATGCATATAAACACAAGGCTTACAGATATACATACATGTATATTGCCTACATATACTATACTATGCTCTACTGTACTCTGCTGTACTCTACTGTACTATACTTTACTATACTTTACTATACTATACTGTACCATACTGTACTTACTGTACAAAACTGTACTATACTAGTACTACACTATTCTATTCTATAGTATACTATACTGTACCGTACTATACTATACTATACTATGCTCTGCTATGCTATGCTATGCTATGCTATGCTATGCTATGCTATACTAAACTGTACTATGCAATGCTATGCCATGCTAATGCTAATACTAATGCTAGTACTACTGCTAATACTAATGCTAATACTAATGCTAATGCTTATGCCTATGCCTATGCCTATGCCTATGCCTATGCCTATGCCTATGCTTGTGCTTTGCTATGCTTTGCTATGCTTTGCTATGCTGTGCTATGCTGTGCTATGCTGTGCTATGCTGTGCTATGCTGTGCTATCCTGTGCTATGCTATGCTATGCTATGCTATGCTATCCTGTGCTATCCTATCCTATCCAACACTACACTATACTATACTATACTATACTATACTATACTATACTATACTATACCATACTGTAGTCGACTATACTATACTATGCTATACTATACTATACTACACCGTACAAAGTAACATGTATGCCAACATACATAGTTTTTGTATGCTAACATACATACTTACTTATATAAACATAAATATGTATATACAGATCTGCGTGTATATGTATACGGTATGAACAAGTAAATATACATACGCACGCATGTGTGTATGTATATATTTTTTCTATTTTCAGATGGATATTCGTTTACACACCTAAATATACATATATACATGTGTATATGCACGTACACGTCTACACACTTGTGAAGCACATGCATGCGTCTACAAACATGCATATCTATACATCTATGTGTATATATATATACATATGCATATATACTTACCTTTAACCGTAAACACCCGAACAGACTCCCTGACTCCATCGTGTTGCCAAACGCAGGAGGGAGGCTGCCGGCTGGGAGATTCATGCCGGTTTTGCCACCTTTGCTCGCACGAGCAGGTTTGTGGGGCAGACAGGGGTTTAGGGTTTAGGGTTTAAGATGAGTTTCCCAGGTGTTTACCAGGCATAGCAAAGTTCTCTGACTCGCAGAATGCCTGCCAGAGCTCGTCCGGTGGCTCTTCAATGACACGACAGTTTCTATAAGACTTTATCTCCGTAGGCGTGTCAGAGTCTAGATTATCCCTAAACCCCTAAACCCCTAAACCCCTAAACCCCTAAACCATAAACCCTAAACCCTATAGAGCTGGTGCAGGATTTTGTGGGACTCTCTCGGGCTTTCAGGGCTTTAAAGCCCCCCTCTTGTCAGGCGAGAGCAGAGCGTTTGCGCATCAAGTACGAGGATCGCCGCGCCAAGCGGCGTCAAGGCTTGCGGAGGAGATGAAATTTACGAGGCACTTCGCGTGATTCTTTCTGAGGAATGCCAAATGTTTACACATGTTCGGCGCGACTGTCGCCACTCTTGCATGCCATCCAGTTGCTCGGGGCTGTTATGTCCTGCAGCCCGCTAAGTACGAGACCGGTGGGAGAAGGATTTCAAGTCAGAACAAGCACCGAGCAGCCGTGCATATAGCGAAGATGGACAGTATACTTCCTATGCTCTGAGCTTTCCTTTATGATTGGCCGAGACTTCCGGATACGCAGAGCCTAGAGAATCCTGAGAATGCTATGATTTCGTCTTTCTCTTGGGAGTCCGGTCAACCAGGTCCAGAAAAGCTGATGTCAGAAAAGCCGGTGCCAAGCTGGGTCTCCTCCAGCCCATGGCTTCTGGCGCAGAATATCTGCCTGCGTCGACAGACACGCACAGCAGGACTTAGAGGTGGGACAGAAGCTCGTATGCTGGCAGTAGTTCGAAAGCTCTGCAAAAACTCTCTGAGTCCACACACTGCACCGTTTGGAATCTTCGGATTCCAGTCTCGGCCAGAGACACTGCGATTTTGCTTTCGAAGGGCTCTCCCCAAGAGGATCTCAGTTTTCTATCAGCCGTTTCACCCATCCGGTCATTCACGCCTGTTCTTTGTTGGCTTGCCGGCTGCGTTTCGCCGTTGGCTGAAGGTCGGCTCAATGCGTTGCGGCCGCTTGCTGCTTCAGAGAATCGGGAAGATTGACACGGTGGCCAAAGCTGCTCACAGTTTGTAGACAGACAGAAGTCTCACTCTTGGCTCCGGTCGCGAATTTTGAAGCGGCTTGACATGGGTTTCAGTGCTGGCATTTGCTACGACAGGCTTCTGCACGTGGTATCGTAGAGACAAGACTTACGAGCCTCTGAAACTTCATGTTGCAGAAATCATGGGGGACGCTGTGCCGGGCAGTACTTGGTCAGCGTCCCGAAAGAATTGTGATATGTGCGTCTGGGCTCTGGGTAAAGCCTTGAATGAGATGGCTTCTTGTTGTTTCAGTAATGTTCAGATTAAACTCCGGCGAAACTCGTCTTCCGGTACTTCTAGAAGCAAAAACAGGGGTTATGCCATTGCCCGCGCGGCCTGATAGTGCTGCTGCAATTGTCTGTTGAAGGCTTGTGCAAAGATTGATCCATGTTGAGGACACGAGAAGTCGGCTCTACAGTAGTCGCTGTAGAATGTATATGGTATGTATTAGCGTCTGGGATCTGGGCCAAGGTCCTTAACCAGGCGGGATCTGCCACTGCAGCACAAAGTCATGGACCTGTTGCGGCCTTCCTCTGTGTTTGAAGAAGCAAGCTGATTTATGAGCTCTTCGCATGGGCTTCAGTACGAAGCTGGCCAGCTGCGCATAGCATTAGATTACAAACAATTCTGTACAACATGTCGTTTAGTTGTGGATGGGTTGGAAAGGTCAATGCTGTAATCGCGCATTGCTGGAACGTAACGTGCCTATGCCTGCCGTCAGTGCTGCGCGTGTGTCGAAAAAAGCCTCTGCCAACTCTATCTCTACAGACTTGACATGTTCTGCTGCAGGCATTGAGGTACCCACAAGGATGTGTGCTTGCTAGTCGGAGACACCAGGAGGCCCCGAACTTAGAGACCAATACCAAGATGGCCACTTCTGCAAGGTCGATGCGTTTCCAAAGCCTTCAAGGGCCAAAGAGTTTGGAGACGCTGCAAGAAATTGAGCACATCACAAGGCCGGCGGTTTCTGCTGGAGCAAGGCCGCCCTTCATCCCATGGGCACAAGATAGTCACAGCCTTCGACCCTACGTAGGGTTGATGATATAAATCCTGCATTACCCATAATAAGGAATATACCACAATTCCCATAGTTTAGGGTCCCTAAGGTAATGCAGGATTCATATCGTCAACAGTAGTATCCAGACTCGGGAGTGTGAGTATCAAAAGCGCAAGCAGTAGGGGTGACTCGTAGCGGTAGGAGCAGTAGTGGTGGTAGTGGGGTGGCCGAGGGTTTAGCAGTTGTGGTAGCGGCAGTGAAGAAGAAGCAGTACTGTAGTAGTAGTAGTAGTAGTAGTAGTAGTAGTAGTAGTAGTAAGTAGTAGTAATTAGTAGTAAGTAGT